CTCACTGCCAAGGCCCCCCCAACTTCCCATCCAGCCGCCAGGCCCCCCAGCTTCCAATTTTTGGAATGTAAGAACATAAGAACATAAGAGACGCCAATGTTGGATCAGGCCAAAGGCCCATCCAGTCCAACACTCTGTGTCACACAGTGGCCAGAAATACCAGTGCCATCAGGAGGTCCAGCAGTGGGGCCAGGACATTAGAAGCCCTCCCACTGTTGACCCCCCCCCCAAGCACCAAGAAGACAGAGCATCACTTGCCCCAGAGCCCCTAGCTATACCTTGTGGCTAATAGCCACTGATGGACCTCTGCTCCATATGCTTATCTAATTCCCTTTTGAAGCCGTCCATGCTTGTAGCACCCACCACTTCCTGTGGCAGTGAATTCCATGTGTTAATCACTCTTTGGGTGAAGAAGTACTTCCTTTTATCCGTTCTAACCCGAACGCTCTGCAGTTTCATGGAGTGCCCACGAGTTCTTGTATTGTGAGAAAGGGAGAAAAGTACCTCTTTCTTTACCTGCTCTTTCCCATGCATAATCTTATAAACCTCGATCATGTCACCCCTCAGTCGTCTTTTCTCCAAGCTAAAGAGCCCTAAGCGCTTTAACCTTTCCTCATAGGGAAAGTGTTCCAACCCTTTTATCATTCGAGTTGCCCTTTTCTGCACTTTTTCCAAAGCTATAATATCCTTTTTAAGGTGTGGTGCCCAGAACTGCACACAGTATTCCAAATGAGGTCTCACCATTGATTTATATAGGGGCATTATTATATTGGCTGATCTGTTTTCAATACCCTTCCTAATAATCCCCAGCATAGCATTGGCCTTCTTTATTGCAGTCACACACTGTCTCGACATTTTCAGTGAGTTATCCACTACAACTCCAAGATCTCTCTCTTGCTCAGTCTCTGCCAGTTCAGACCCCATCAATGTGTATTTATATTTAGGATTTTTGGCTCCAATGTGCATCACCTTGCACTTGGCCACATTGAACCCCATTTGCCATGTTGACGCCCACTCGCCCATCCTTGACAGATCCCCTTGGAGTGCCTCACAATCCTCACTGGTTTTCACCACCCTGAACAACTTTGTATCATCCGCAAATTTAGCCACTTCACTGCTTACTCCCATCTCCAAATCATTAATGAACAAGTTAAAAAGCAGTGGACCAAGTACTGATCCCTGCGGTACCCCACTGCTTACCACCCTCCACTGAGAAAATTGCCCACCTACACTCACTCTCTGTTTTCTATGAACTAGCCAGTTTTTGATCCATAAAAGGACTTGTCCTTCTATCCCATGATTTTTGAGCTTACTTAGGAGCCTTTGATGAGGAACTTTATCAAAAGCTTTCTGGAAGTCAAGGTAAATAATATCTATTGGATCCCCCTTGTCCACATGTTTGTTCACCCCCTCAAAGAACACTAACAGGTTAGTGAGACAAGATCTTCCCTTACAGAAACCGTGCTGAGTCTGCCTCAATAGGTTTTGTTCATCTATGTGCCTACTAATTCTTTCCTTAATAATGGTTTCCACCAATTTACCCGGTATCGACGTCAGACTGACTGGCCTGTAATTTCCCGGATCTCCTCTGGAACCCTCTCCTCCTCCGCCCAGGCCCCGCCGGCCCCCGGCCCGGGGAGAAAGAAGGGCGCGCTCGCTCGCTCTCTCCAGCCGCGGGACGCGCCCTCGGGCCCCAGACGCCGCCCGGAGCACCGCGCTCATGGCGCCGGACCGGTGCTTCCTTCCTTCCTTCGCTCGGCCGGCCACCTAGCCAGCCGGCAGCTCCGTGGGAAGGAAGGCCCCCTCCCTCGGCCCCCGCGCCCGCAGGCGGAGGCGGGCCCGCCCCAGACCCGCCCCCCTCCCGGAGCCCGAGGGAGGGAGGGAGGGAGGGAGGGGGCCGCGCGTCTCGCAAGGCGCGCCGACAGCTCCCCTCCCCGACGGCCGCGCCCGCAGAGCGCAGGAGTCTCCCGGGGAGGAGGAAAGGGGGCTTCGCCAATGCGCCCCTCTCTCTACGTAGCTCTCTCTCGAGGTCCGACAAAGGAACGTCGCTTCCTTTGTCACTCCCGGGCCGTTCCGCCTGCTGCCGGGCTGCTGGCGTGGATCGGGGCCACGTTTCGCGCGACTCCTCCTCCCGAAGCTGCTGCCGGACCGCCGCCTCCCCGGACCGCCGGCGTCGGAGGCAGGGCGCGATCCGGGGCGCCTTCGCACCCCTCGCCAGGGACAGGAGAGCCGCCGCAGTGCCGTCGGGAACTGCCCCCCCCCCACCGCCCCCACCGCTGGACCTCCTGGTGGCCCCTGGTGTTTCTGGCCACTGTGCGACACAGAGTGTTGGGCTGGAGGGGCCACTGGCCTGATCCATCACTGGCGTCTCTTACGGTCTTTTGACTCCTGAGTGTTCCCTCTAAGCCGAGCTCGTGTGAGCCAGCTCACAGTTTTCTAGCCTCCGGCGCACACCTTTTTGTCTCGGCTCAGGGAGGATGGGGCTCCAGAGCAGACGGATTGATGCAGGAGCCAAATCACCTGCTCACAGCTTTAGTGCCAGCAGCTCACAAGGTACCATTTTTGCTCACAGGACTCTCCACAGCTTAGAGAGAGCATTGGTGTTCTCTCTAAGCTGAGTGAGTGTGAGCTAGCTCACAGTTTTTTAACCCCCGGCTCACCCATTTTCGTCTCAGCTCAGGGAGGAGGGCTCCAGAGCAAACTGATTGATGCAGGAGCCGAATCGCTCACTCACCACTTGAATGCCGGTGGCTCACCAACTAGCATTTTTGCTCACAAGACTCCACCGCTTAGAGGGGACATTCCTGATTGGAATTGCTGCCCACACTGTTACTAATACTGCTGTCATTTTTGCTTTGGTTTCCCCCCCCCCACAAGTGTTTTGCTCCCTCTGGGACTACCCCCCCCAGCAATAGGGACAAACCAGTGACAAAAGTGACGACAGGGAAATCTCGGTTTCGAATCGGGGCCGTTTCCTCCTCTGGGAGACGCGAACATCCCTTACTGATTCTTCTTGTTTCACGGACATCTATCCTGTAGAAAGAATTTGCCTGGCAATAAGGTTAGGAACGGGCGCTATCGATTTCGAAGATCAGCACCAGCCAAGGAGGGTCCTTGTGGCCGAGGGCCCTGAAAATCCCCCCCCCCCGCTCCCACTGATCCATAGGTA